TTTCTGTCAGTGTTAAATGTATTGATCTAGCACATTGTAAATAACATGAGTTCCATTATAGAAAATAATACAGAAAGAAATTGAAGGAAAACAATTAAAGCAAGTCTTGCATTTTCGGTTCAGTTTTGAACAGAGATTTTCCGAAGTTGACAAGTCTCTCTTTCTCGCTCCGCCTCTCTGTGCTACGTCATGTAATGTACACTATAGTGGATCGATATGACAATAAAAGAGAGACTTGGAGCAAGTCTAGTCCAAAATACGTAATATAGTATTCGCTTAAAATTTCCATCAACAAAAACCTTTCAACATTCCATTCTGTTGAGATAATTATCAACATTTTCAAAACTGAACAAAGTGTACTGTACGGTGATGGGGAAGGGGTTACAATTTTGTTTTAATATACGTATTAATGCTGATGTATGTCATTCAAAGATACTGGATTTTGAAGCCAGATCTTTGAGACCCATATTCAACGGTTCGCAATCATAGATATCTTATGTTCGCAATACTGTCTCTTGCTCGACAAAGATGACTTGACACACTTTGAACAAGTGAACTGCAAACTATATTTGTACTACATACCTATCATCTTCATTCCCCATGATCAACAGTTAAGAGATGTTGATAATTGTGGACAACCCATTCTGTTAAGCAGTCATAAAGGTATATATGCTCTTAAACAGCAGTGGATTAGATGAACCTTTATTTTCATCAGGTGAATGTTGGTATTGGCTTACTCACTACTGTGCGTAATGACTTACAAAACGTGATCTCTGTTTGTGAACAAGTGAAGAAACCCACCAACTATCTTCGGAGTGTAATGAGTGATTTGATGAAAGGTATGTTTGTCTACTCAATTTCCAAACTTTATATATGATTTACCTCATGCAATTGTCGAAAAACGAGATATCCACACTCGCATTACAAGCCATTTTCAATATATTAACTCAAATTTCGTTTGCAAACTTGTCTTTTCCATCATCAATTTTACTATATTCCAAGGCAATGGAATTATAGAACTAATATCATCTTGCTATAGAAGTTTTATTACGCTAGCAGTCACATTATTGATGCAATTTCCATGCACATATCTGATATGTATACAAGGATTAATCGTATGACTTGTTCTACAACTGCAATGTGCAAAAGCAATAACCTTCAGTTGGACTTAAACCACTTACATTGTGGAATACGTCTAGTTAAAGGTAACATTTTTTGTATACAGTACCCTACGTGCAATCTTGTTTTGTACCATACAAATAATATATCATAATGCACTTTGCGTAATATAAAGCCGCCATATTTCAGTTGACTATAGGAATAATGGCTTTTGCTGTTGGACGAATCAGGAGAATGCTCGTGATCCTTTTTGAAAACACCCTGACTACGCATCTATGCATAAATTATTATCGTATTTCATACACGATACTGTATGTGTAATAATTTTTTTCTATAGCAATCCTGCCCAAGAACTGGCGTCGTTACACAGTTCCACTAAGCCTTACAGTGATTCAGTGGATAGCCGACTTCAGTGACCGTATTCAACAGCTTCGACAGGTCTCCCAAGTTTCCCACAGTGGTTCTAGTAAAGGATTGAAGGTAATTTTCAAGCATTGTTCAGCATCAAGATATCGGTTTGTTGTGGGGCTCAAACACCCTATGGAATACTGAGGTGCAGGTCCGAGGTGAAAACATTTATTCTTTTTTAGAACATGCGTGTTCGACTGGGATGGTTGTTTGTTCCTGAAGCTTACATTACAGCGACCAGACAGTATGTTGCCCAAGCTAACAATTGGTCTTTGGAAGAACTCTTCTTGAAGGTATTTTAACTGTCATATCGTGAATCATAAATGTTTACAGCTCGAAACCAAAAAGGAGGAAAATCTCGAGAGATATTCAGATATATGCAAATGTTAATCCAGCTAGGTTTGTTACTCGCTAGCATTAAACATGCAAAAGGAAATTTTCTTTCGCTTTAAGGTTGGTGGGGTTAGGGCCAATTGAAGTAGTGTTTTCAATGATGTGTTTTCACTCCTTGTAGATGACTGTCTCCCGAGGAAAAAATGATGAAGTACAGCTTGATGATTGCAGCTTTGGTATTACAGGTAACCACATACTGTTGTTCCTAATCTTAAAAATATCTGAAATTCGCACGCCAAAAAACGTTCATAAGCGCAATTTGCCAATATTTATGGTTATAAACATTTACCGTGTACTCATATGTAGGCTTAAGACTTCAAGGAGCAAAGTGCGTAAATAACCGTTTGGAGCTGGCTACAGTTATTTCAACTGACCTTCCTCTTACAAGTCTTAGTTGGATAAGGTATGTCTGACTCTCCTGTACTTTTGTATTTTACTCTTTTAATATCATTTCTATTTTATTTGCGCATATCGATATGGTTAAATGATAATGGCCGCTTACAGTATTTGTTGATATTAGCATTCATGCATAAAATAGAGAGTTTAAGATCTACGACGCGGCAAACTCCACGACGCAGTCTCAATTTCAGCTCAACATTGAGCGTTAAAGACGGGTTACAGTCCGTGCTGCGCATGTGCGATTCTTTTTGTTTTGGTAGACTACTTATCTTGCGTTTCCATGGTTTCCAGTCCGATTGCGTAATATACGCGCGATTCTATATTTGTTGATACAAGGAGTGGGAATACACAGTTTCGAAGAGATTTTCAACGATTTGTGACTTTTATGAAGTGAAATCCGATTAATAACAAATCATTGAAACAATATGAGAAGAAGGAAAGAATATTACGCCAACAAGGATGCCTTTAAAGTGTGTTTATTTGAAATTCAGTCAAGCGCTTCGACATGTCGTACATATAAAGGTAAATATTTGTTTATACATTTGATTATTTCGTTCTCCTGAGTCGAGACTGGATCTCTAATTCGCTGTGTATTTGTGACAACTTTTAAGCTAGGGCAATTACATTCATTTACTGTTTGAGAAAATATGGGATCTCTGAGTTTTATAGTTCAACTTGTTCAAGACATGTATAGACTAATATAGTACTTGAAATCTAATTTAATCACCTCAGGCTCAGTACTAGATTCAGTCAAGGATAAAACTGATTTCATCTTTATATGGTGAGCTGTTATCAAAATGCTACTGGGATTGAGTTATTGGATGATTATTGTTTTGTAATTCATAATCAGGCATCTCCAGATGAACTTTTTGGTAGCAGCATATATTTTTTTACATCGGACATGATTGTACTGTACTGTATGTTGGTACTGTATAGCACTTTTGTGTGATTGCATATTAAAATTAATATCACTACTGCACTGGACAAAAATGTACTATGTTGAATGACATGGCATTGTTTGTGAACCTTCAAAAAATGCATAGTGTAATCTTTATAAAGGGTATATACCCCATGTAAATCTTTTTTTTGGAAACATTGATACTGTAGGTTCTCATTCATGGAAAAATTGAGGACAATTTGCACATCACCACCACCATATTCATGGCTACACCCACCAAAATCTGGACTGCTGCAACTGTAGACATTGTGTTCCGGGTTCCCCACGCCGGCTAGCCTGCTCGCAGGCCGTTGTCAGGCAGAGGCTGCACGAGGAACGGCCTGCGACCTTTATTAGTAAAAAGTCGATTTATGCGTACGGAGCGTACGCAAAATTCCCATTGGTCAGAAGTGCCCCATGAGTTAATATCGGCATGTACTAAAAGGCGAAACGTCGAAACGAAACGACCGAAACGAAACGGCCGAAACCATCGAAACGACCGAAACGAAACGACCGAAACAAAACAACCGAAACGAAACGACCGAAACGAAACAACCGAAACGAAACGACCGAAACGAAACGGCCGAAAATGTAAATTACAGGAAAATTGAAAAATGCGGATACGGACGGACGGACGGGGGGGGACAGTCGGATGGACGGGGGAAGAGGCGGATGGACGGGGGAGGGGACAGGCGGATGGACGGGGGGGGACGGCTTCATTTGACACGAAACTCAATTTTAAAATCAAATCCGAGTTTTGTTGAAAGGGATATATTAGGATATATTATAAAAGACTATTATTAATCGTAATAAATTGTCCGCGAAAAGTTGATAAAATACATGCGGGGTTTTTCGAACCTTCGTAACGCTTGATCGGATAAAACGCGGATATGCTGCAACTTTCATGCTTAATTTTCTCAGTCATCTGGGTATGTAGTAATATAATTTTATGCAATGTAATGTGTTATATTTTCAAGGGCTTTTCAATGCAGTTATCGGTTTAAATATACCTAAAATTCCCGTTAAGATATGACAATGGACCATTTGCATTATAGACCAAATTTTGATCTAGTCAAAAATTTCATCACAGCTTGAAAGAGCATCACAAAATTAGTAATATTCCAAAGTTTCGTTTGCGAAATTTGTAATATGTAAGTTTTGTTAATTTTACGCAATTCAGCCAATTCGGCTGCCATGTAAAATCTATTAAACTATCTATCTATCTATCTATCTATCTGGTTATATTATCAACATTTTACAACATTTCGCAACGAAACTTTGGAATATTACTAATTTTGTGATGCTCTAGCTTTCGAGCTGTGATGAAAGTTTTGTCTAGATCAAAATTTAGTGTATAATGCAAATGGTCCATTGCCGTACGGCCTACTTTTACGCAAACGAAAATTACAACTGCAAATTTCATGCTTAATTTTCTCTGTTATATTATCTGGGCATGTAGTAATGTATATTTTATGCCAATGTAAGGTGCTATTTTTCAAGGGCTTTTCGATGCAGTTATTGGTTTAAATATAACTCAAATTCCCGTTAAGATATGACAATTGCCGTACGGACTACTTTTACGCAAACGCAAATTACAACTGCAAATTTCATCAGCACATTACATTGGCATAAAATTACATTACTACATGCCCGGATAACAGAGAAAATTAAGCATGAAAGTGGCAATTGTAGCTAATTTTCGCTTGCGTAAAAGTAGGCCGTAAGGCAATTGTCATATCTTAACGGGAATTTTAGGTATATTTAAACCGATAACTGCATTGAAAAGCCCTTGAAAATATAACACATTACATTGCATAAAATTAGATTACTACATACCCAGATGACTGAGAAAATTAATCATGAAAGTTGCAGCATATCCGCGTTTTATCCGATCAAGCGTTACGAAGGTTTGAAAAACCCCGCATTTCCACATGTATTTTATCAACTTTTCGCGGACAATTTATTACGATTAATAATAGTCTTTTATAATATATCCTAATATAACCCTTTCAACAAAACGCGGATTTGATTTTAAAATTGAGTTTCGTGTCAAATGAAGCCGTCCTCCCCCGTCCATCCGCCTCTTCCCCCGTCCGTCCGTCCGTATCCGCATTTTTCAATTTTCCTGTAATTTATATTTTCTGCCGTTTCGTTTCGGCCGTTTCGTTTCGGTCGTTTCGTTTCGGTCGTTTCGTTTCGTTTCGGTCGTTTCGTTTCGGTTGTTTCGTTTCGGTCGTTTCTGTGGTTTCGGCCGTTTCGTTTCGGTCGTTTCGTTTCGACGTTTCGCCTTTTAGTACATGCCCTTTCAAACATTGTGATTTCAGGAAACACTCGATGTTATCATCATATACGCTGATAATACTAATTGTGATCGCGGGCACTGACAAAGAACGCCCGGGATGTAGTAAAATCCATTCCTCGATGCTTCGAACAACCTCGTACCCAGGGCTTCTGCGCTTATTGCTCTCAGAAGCCCTGGGATAATCCAACTCAGAACGTGATTTGATTGGTCAACGCGAATTTTGGCAACATGGCTGCTATCACAAGGAGTGTATACAAAAGTTAAATGCTGGTTTTTGCATGAAAATACTTCCTTAAATCAAATTCTGGGCTATTTTGAAAAGAGCAAAAGAAGAAATGGACTATTTGTATTTGTAAATAAGCAAGAATGGCGAACAGAGTAAAAAATTAACATAATAAAGCGAAACATTTCTCGTTCGAAAATTGAAATTTCAAGTATAAATCTACAACTTCAACCACGATATTCAATGTAAATATTACATAATAAAGTTTTTAATACCTTTTTTACCTTTATTTGATAAATTGTGTGTTCTACATTATTGCATTTTGTATTGGAATAGGATAAATTACGAATTATACACAAATATTTAAATTTACAAATTATTCCCAATTTGAGGATGCTGGGTGCACTGGCTCAGAGTTTGTATTAGTGCCTATTTATTATTGATTATTAGTGCCTCTAAATCTCTAATGTACAAACATTGTAATCTGTCACTTAATACCATAAAGAAACTGTTGATAGCACATATATTAAATGACTATTAAAGGGGAAGTCAAGTCCGTAATGTAAACAAACGGTTTGTTTACATTTTGAACTGCTCTAGTTTTTAAAATATGATGTACAGTCTGAATATCTAACACCATTTTGGTTCGCTATGCTTCTAAATGAATATGAAATAGAGTTTATGTTCAGAAAAATTCGAAACATTCGAAATTTGGGCAATGTTCACATTAGAGGTCCTCTCATTGTTATGAGCAGAACCGATGCGCAGAACGGACTTGACTTCCCCTTTAATCAAAATGAACTAAATTTCGACCATTATATACTTAGCATATTTCCCCCAATATTGAGGGAATAATTTCTCCTATTTATTTTTATAATAAGCCAATATTGCCCAACTGTGAAGTCAATATTGCCCGACTGGCCTAGTCTGCCCAACAATTG